ATTGTGTTCTTTTTTTAAAAAAAAACTGTCATTACTGAGCGAGTAATTAAGAACATGAACCCAAATTTCCTTTGAAAATCATTTTACTGAATTTAGATTTGGCAAGAACCACATTTTAAAATAATTTACTCAATTTCATATTTCATCCCCCCAGTAAATCATCATGAATTAACATCATCTATTACAGATAAGCTGAGATTACTCCCCATAAAATGTTATAATTGGAAACATCTCCAAATTCAATTGTCATTTTCAGATCCTGGTTAGGTGCTGAGATTCAGAGGTGGGTAAGTCAATTGTTGCTTTCAATGAGCTTCAATACAGTGAGAAAGAGATTTGTCAGAGAGTGAATCTCCATAGCATGATGCCAGGTTCTATGGTGAAGCACAGATATGCCTGAGGAAACGGCAGAGTGCATCCAGGGAATAGGAGTAGTAGAGTATTGCAGAAGACAGGATATGGTAGGAGACTAACTGGAAAGGCAGACAGCCAGATCCTAGATGGTCTTTTCTTGAAACATCTTGTATGTCATCTGAAGAGTTTAGGAGTTATTCTGCAGGTGATGGGGAGCAAGTCGAGGTTTGTGGCCTGGAGCTGGATTTGATCAGTGTCCTGTTTAAGGAACACAGTTCTGATGGCATTTTGAAGGATCAATAATTGAGAGATAAGGAGGGTAAGGATAAGGAGACAGTACAGTACAATAACCTAGGGGAGGGAAAGTGAAAACCAGAAGGTCCGAAGGAAAATGATGGCAATGGAAATAAAAGTAAGGATTTGAAAGGTCTTGTCCAGTTGGGGTCAACATTGCCTCATTGTTCATGGAATTATGTGAAAGACTGTTGACCCATTCTGACCTCAAAATTCTAAGAGTTAGTCTTCTCTGACTACAGAAGAACCCTATACTCTCAGAAGAGGGCGTTTTTCCCACAACTCTAAGTATATATAAGAATGCTTCAGACATATCTCTACATATTTAAGAAGTGAGATCATCTCTCCCACCCACCTATTATATCAGTTGAAATGAAGATAATTAGATCTATTTACTTAAGCACAAACTAATTTTGTTTTTGTTTTTTTGTGAGTTTCCAGTTTGGAAACAAAGTAATGCTTATCACAATAGTCTCCCTAAATAGGAGGCCTACACTTGTGCTTTATAGGACAGCACATTCTAGTTTCTGTTCACTGACCTCAGAATAAGAATTTAATAGAAAACTGAGAAGTAAAACTGTGAGAAAACTAGAGAAGGAAAGGAAGCAATATAATCAAATGACATGGTACAGAAGATACTGAATTGCCATATCAAAACAGAAGATACTGACTTGCTGAATAAATTCTTATTGTTTCCTAAGTTACAAGGATTTAGAGTAATTGAAGAAATATACTGTGAAGGAAAAAAGTAGGCCATCAGATACATGGATATCATTGGTGATTGCATGTGGCAGGTATGATGAAAAAAACCAAAATGACATACAGATGAAGAACATGCATTTTGCAGCACTAATAGATAATATCACATATCTTATTCCTTACTTGTAAGTATATCATTACTTATATTTATTTCTTTTATTTGCCAAACATTTATATGTTGCCAGGACTGACCAGTAGACCCTGAGCGACAGATGAATGGATTACTCTGACATGATGTTTGCCGTGAAAGAGAGGGCTAAGGGACTGCCTGGCTAAAGGAACCAGACAACCTCAATTGCCTGCCTTGTTAGGCTTTTATTGTAATAGCAGTTTGAAATAAAGTTTATCTTTTAGATACAATCAGTAGGGTAAGTAATATTGGGAGGACACATGTGTCTGTAATGTCCTTTAAGTAAGGACACCTAAAGATTAAGCATAAGGATTCCAGTAAACACCTGGGGGTCTGCATGTACACAGACTTGTTTGGAAAGGTCAAGGGATAATTAGGGGCACCACCTTTGGTACTCCCCTAAGTCTCGCCTAAGTCGGAATCCCCTAAACAGGGCAGGTGGCCTTCCACACACTTCCCTTTTTCTCCGAATGTCCTCCTTACAAACTTTCCAACCAAGTCTCATGCTTCCCCACAATATGTTACTTACATTCACTCAATTAAACCTCATAACAACCCCATGAAGTATGTACTTTTATTATTCCCATTTTACAGATGGGGCAACAGAGAGTTTAGGCAATTAGCCCATAGTCACACAGCTGGCAAGTAGCTGAGCCAAGGAGTCAAACCCAGGTATCCTGACTTTAGCATTCATGTTCCTAACTAGACACTATGCTGCCTTTCTAAGTTTGAAGATGGGAGAGAAAGCAATGTTCTTTAATACTATGGCTTGATCTAGAAGGACCTCAACAGACTCTATCAAAGATTTGTGTATTCTCATAAGTGTATATGCAGGCTAAAAGCAGTCATAGCACTTACAGTTGTCCATTTCCTCTGTTGCTGATGGTTAATTCATTCATTCAGGTTGTTAGGTATTAGGGATGCAAAGATGAATTTGGCATGGTTTCTACCTTTAAGAAACACATAGTATAGAGGGGGAATAGAAGTGCCATATTAACAGTCTTGGATAACTGATCATTAAATTTTAATGCAACTGATTATATAAATGTGAACTCTTCACATTTACTTTTATTAAAATACTAGAGGCCCGGTGCACAAAAATTTGTGCACTTGGGGGGGGTCCCCCAGCCCGGCCTATGCCCTCTCACAGTCTGGGACCCCTCGGGAGATAACGACCTGCTGGCTTAGGCCTGCTCCCGGGTGGCAGAGGGCATGCCCAATCCCTAGGTGCAGCCCCTGGTCAGACTCAGAGCAGGGCCGATTGGGGAGTTGGGGCGCTGCCCC